CAGCTTTTTAAGTAGCCTCCATATTTTTTTCCAGAGTGGTTGTACTAGTTTACATTCCCACCAACAGTGTAAGGGTTCCTTTTTCCCCGCATCCTCGCCAACACCTGTTGTTGGTGGTGTTGCTGATGATGGCTATTCTAACAGGGGTGAGGTGGAATCTTAGTGTGGTTTTAATTTGCATTTCCTTTATTGCTAGAGATGGTGAGCATTTTCATGTGTTTTCTGGCCATTTGAATTTCTTCTTTTGAGAAAGTTCTGTTTTAGTTCACGTGCCCATTTCTTTATTGGTTCATTAGTTTTGGAGAATTTAGTTTTTTTAAGTTCCCTGTATATTCTGGTTATCAGTCCTTTGTCTGATGTATATTGGCAAATATTTCTCCCACTCTGTGGGTGTTCTCTTCAGTTTAGAGACCATTTCTTTTGATGAACAGAAGCTTTTTAGTTTTATGAGGTCCCATTTATCTATGCTATCTCTTAGTTGCTGTGCTGCTGGGGTTTTCATTGATGAAAGTTTCTTACCTATACCTACTAACTCCAGAGTATTTCCTACTCTTTCTTGTATCAACTTAAGAGTTTGGGGCTGATATTAAGATCTTGATCCATTTTGAGTTAATCTTGGTATAGGGTGATATACATGGATCTAGTTTCAGTTTTTTGCAGACTGCTAACCAGTTTTCCCAGCAGTTTTTGTTGAAGAGGCTGCTATTTCTCCATCGTATATTTTTAGCTCCTTTGTCAAAGATAAGTGCTTATAGTTGTGTGGCTTCATATCTGGATCTCTATTCTGTTCCACTGGTCTTCATGTTCTGTTTGTGCAGTACCATGCTGTTTTATTGTTATTGCTTTGTAATATAGTTTGAAGTCAGGTATTGTGATACCTCCTGCATTGTTCTTTGACCGAGTATTGCCTTGGCTATTCGTGGCCTCTTGTGTTTCCATATAAATTTACAGTAGATTTTTCAATCTCTTTAATGAATGTCATTGGAATTTTGATGGGAATTGCATTATAACATGTAGATTACTTGGGGAGTATCGACATTTTTACTATGTTGATTCTACCAATCCATAGCATTGGGAGATCTCTCCACTTTCTATAGTCTTCCTCAATCTCTTTCTTTCAGAAGTGGTATAGTTTTCCTTGTAGAGGTCTTTCACATCTTTGTTAGGTTTACACCTAGTATTTGATTTTTTTGAGGCTATTGTAAATGGAATTGTTTTCATACATTCTTTTTTCCGTTTGCTCATTGTTAGTGTATAGAAATGCTAATGATTTTTCTATGTTGATTTTATATCCTGCTACCTTGCTATAGCTATTGATGATGTCTAGAAGCTTCTGAGTAGAGTTTTTTGTGTCTTTAAATATAGGATCATGTCGTCTGCAAATAGGGATATTTTGACAGTTTCTTTACCTATTTGTATTCCTTTTATTCCTTCTTCTTGCCTAATTGCTCTGGCTAGGAATTCCAGTACTATGTTGAATAGGAGTGGAGATAGTGGGCATCCTTGTCTGGTTCCTGATTTTAGAGGGAAGGTTTCAGTTTTTCTCCATTAAGTATAATGCTGGCTGTAAGTTTGTCATATATAGCTTTTATAATGTTGAGGAACTTTCCTTCTATTCCTAGTTTTCTTAGAGCTTTTATCATGAAATGATGTTGGATATTATCAAAGGCTTTTTCTGCATCTATTGAGATGATCAAGTGGTTTTTGTCTTTGCTTCTGTTAATGTGGTTTATTACGTTTATTGATTTCGTATGTTGAACACCCACCCCTGCAATCCCTGGGATGAAGCCTACTGGTCTGGTGATAATCTTTTTGATGTGTTGCTGAATTCGTTTGCCATTATTTTGTTGAGGATTTTGCATCAATGTTCATTAAGGAGATTGGCCTATAGTTCTCCTTTTTGGAGGTGTCTTTGCCTGGTTTTGGGATAAGTGTAATAGTGGCTTCATAAAATGTGTTTGGTCAGTTTTTCCTTCCCTTTCTATTTCATGGAACAGTTAAGGAGGGTTTGGTTCAGTTCTTCTTTAAAGGTCTGATAGAATTCAGGCAGAGAATCCATCAGGTCCTGGACTTCTTTTGGGAGACTCTTGATGCTGCTGTCAATTTCATTTTGTGTTATAGGTCTATTCAGGTGATTAATTTCCTCTTGGTTCAGTTTGATGATCGATATGTACTAGAAATCTGTCCATTCTTTTGATTTTCAAGATTTATTTGAATATAGGTTCTCAAGTAGTCTCTGATGATTTCCTTGGACTTCCATGGTGTTTGTTGTTATCTCCCTTTGCATTCCTGATTCTACTAATTTGGGTTTTTTCTCTCCTCATTTTAGTCAGGTTTGCCAGGGGTCTATCGATCTTGTTTATTTTTTTCAAAGAACCAACTTTTTTTGTTTTCATTAATTCTTTGTATGGTTTTTTGGTTTCTATTTCGTTGATTTCAGCTCCTTATTTTATTATTTCTCTCTTCTAATTTGTTTTGGGATTGGCTTGTTCTTGTTTTTCTAGAGTTTGAGATGTATCATTTAGGTCAATTGATTTTGGGATCTTTCAAATCTTTTTAATATATGCACTCATGGCTATAAACTTTCCTCTCAAGACTGCCTTAGCTGGGGACAGGCCTTTTAAAAAAAGATCAGAGTACTCTGTGTGTATTTTAGAATGGTTGCTTTTCCCCCCAACCTTCCAGAAGCACAAGGGGATTTTTGTCTAGTTTTCATCCTGAGAACCTGGTGGGGCTTCGGGAAGAAAGACTGAAGAATGTGTGGGAGGTCCTTTAAGCACAGTGCCCTGGAGTTTACCTCTGAAGCTAGTTTACACTTAATTTCCAGCAATCAATCAACTACTCTTTATACGTTTTTTCAGCTGGATTGCAGTAGTGGCTTTGGCTTGCAGTAAACTGTGACTCTTTATACCAGGTAATACTAGTTAGTTTAGGGGTAGTGTTTTGACCTGTGATCTCAATTCTCTGACAGGTCTAAAAGTGTACTGGATGTGCTTTTTCTGTGTATCTTTGGGCATTGCACATTGTGATTTTAACTAGTCTCTTTTATTAAAGAATAAAATCATGGGTAAAAAAACTTTGTCTATCTTTTATACACTAATATTGGACTCTTTTGTAGGAATTAAACAAGTATTTATTGCATTGAATAGCTCATTGAATAAGACAAACTACAACTTTAAGTGACATGTTTTAAATGTAATCTATAATGTCTGCAATGATGTATAGTAAGAGTTTTAACAGTGGAAGGTTTTTTCATTAATCAAATTTCATATGGAACTATACTTGTGTACTGGATCACTTCTTTTTAATGATCATACATATACATTGTGCTTACAATTGTTTTCATTCATTTATTGAATACACTATGATCAAGGCACCATTATAAACACTAGAGATATTGGTGGACAAAAACAAAACAAAACAACAAAAAAAAAGCCCTCTATTCCTGGTTGTATATGAGGAAACAAATAATAAAAAAATGTTACAATAAATATGCACATTATGTGGAATGATTAAAGGTAATGAATAACATGGAAAATAGAGAAACCTGAAGGACAAAGGGCAGAGATGGTTACAATTTTCAATAGAACATTTAGAGTTGATCTTATTGACAAGAGAATGTTTAAGCTGACATGAAGAGAAAGGGGACTTGGTCATGAATATACCTGGCTAAAGGATATAGTAGGCAGAAGAAACAGTGCATGCAAAAATCTGACTGATAACCAGGAGGACAGGGACAGTAAGTTAGAGTGAGGCAGTATATCAGAAGATAAGATTCAGGTGATAACATGCACCATGTAAGGACTTTGGCTTTTATTCTGAGTGAAAATGATCAACACTGTGGGCCTAGGAACAGAAAGTAGTTACAACTGATTTAGCACTTTTGTTGTTGTTGTGGCAGTACTGGGGTTTGAACCTAGGGCCTACTCCTTGTGGTACTCCACCAGCCCTTTTTTGTGGAGGGTTTTTTCGAGATAGGGACTCACAAACTACTTTCCTGGGCTAGCTTTGTATGGCTATCCTCCTGATCTCCTCTTGAGTTGCTAGGATTACAGGCATGAGCCACGAGCGCTGGCCTGATTTAGCATTTTGAAGAGAATCTCTGGCCACTCTTTTGAGATCTAACTGTAAGGAGAGTTAGGAAGCCATCAGGATGAACCAGATAAGAATAATTGGTATAAACCATAGTAGTCCTGATAGAAGGTATTAGAAGAGGGGAGTTAAGTATGTCTTAGCTCTGTGGACTGAACAAGGAGAAAGGTGTTCCAATAACTGAGATGGAAAAAGACCCAGGCAGTCCAGGTTTTGGAGGGAAGATCACATTTCAGTTTGGACATTTTAATTTTAAGACATTTACTAGAGGTCCAAGCAAAGGTCTTAAATAGACATGTAAAAATTCAGGAGACTGATTTGGCTAGCGCTATAGTTTGGGAGTCATAAGCAGATAGATGATATTTGAAGACATGAGACTGTGTAAGTCCCTGTAGGCGTGAGTGTAGATAGAGGAAGGAAGAAAACCAAAAGGCGTGTGTGTGAGTTGTGGGTGGTGTGCAGAGGGAAGAAACCAGAAAAGAAATTCAGAAGAGTCACAAGAAAGGAGGAAAAGTAAATATCAAAGTGGAGGGAATCAAATCTACTTTGTCAAATGCTGTTGATATGTTATGTAAAATGAGAAAGGCTAGCATTACTTCAGAAGAGTTAGAAATGGAAGTATTAAAGGTAGTCACTAATTGAATATGGAAAATTTGAACACAGACGTTAGATAGCCTGACCCTGAGGCTTTCTCTGGCAGGTAGCTATGAAGTCCTCCAAATGTAATAAGGCTATTCCTGGCCCACTGCATCAACCACACACAAATATAGATTGGGATCTATCTTGCATTAGGGCCTGACATTCTGATGGACTTCTGATGGACTGATTCAGAAAGCCTATAAAGTCCTTGATGGCATCTATTGTATCACTCTAGCTGTTCCCTAGATTTGAGGAACAGCAAGTCTACCATGCCCATTGCAGCTGGCTCTGGAATTCTTAAGCTCATGAATTTTGATCCAAGTAGCAAGATTTTAGTTTCTAAAATCACCTCAGGGCTTAGAGAAATCTGTGAGAACAACCTCAATTTAGGATCTGATAAACTTTCTAAAAATGATTTTTTTCTTAATTTACCTCTTTTTTTCTAAAAATTAAATTTATGAACTTCAGTAAATAGGCAATCATTGATTTTTATTTTTTCTTCTCAAGAAAAATGAAATAATTCTTTTTCATTTTGTGTCTTCACAAACTCTTATACAGAATAGATAAGTAATAGGACACAAATTATAGAGTTAGGGTTTTCTGATGCTTAACAGTTAATAATATAAAAAGTAACTAGGCATGTCTGTAATCCCAGTTACTCCAGAGGCAGAGGTAGGAGGGCAGTTCAAGGATAGACTGGGAAAAGTTATCAATATCCTATCTCAAAAACAATATACAAATAAAAGGGCTGAGGCTTAAGTGGAGAATGCTTGCCTAGCAAGTGTGAGGTCCTGAGTTCAAATCCAAATATCACAAAACATTAGTCAATTAATATTTTTTAAAAAGTAATGACTTCAAATGACATAAGTGGTGTTTTACAAGAGCAACTTATGTGTTTAATTTTTCCAAACTGTTCCTTTCAAAAACATAGAAGAAAGAATACTAACAGTTAGACAGTAGATAATTGGGAAACAAAATTGGATCATGAAAATGCTTGTAAAACTTGTGTTAGAAAATTGTCAAGAAACTCATAAACTGTTATAAAATCTTGTTAGCATTAACATATAAGCTTATTTTTAATTCAAGACCCTTTATGGGGCAGTATCTGGAAAGGAGGTAATTTAAGGACAATTCTTTAAGTGGCCCTATAGTCTCAAAGAAAGACTTCTTGGAAAGAACATTGTTCCGAGGGATGCATTTATAAGCACCCACCAGACTATCTGAGCTCCTGATGGTTCCTCTGTGACCCATTCTGCAGCACTCTTTGTCTATCCAGGTGAAACATAGCACTGGTGGAAAAAGAAGTAACATTGTCGTCAGAAAATGATTGCATTTTCATATCTGTTTTCATATATAAATCTAAAGTACCTTTCACCTTGTGATTCTGCAACACTTCTAACCCCGAGGATAGGATTTTATGTAAAGAATGTATGTCTTTGTTTGATCCCTAGCAGGAGAGAAAAAAAAATGAGCCTTAAATGTGAAGGATTTTTGTCTGAAGTATCAAACTTTTTTCTGTAATAATTTCAAGTGTAAAGTCTGGGCCTTAAGAACACAACTTAAAATGATATGGTGATATCACTTTTACATAGACATTTGCATGTATATTTACATAGATATCTATATTCATGCATGTTATGTGTCATAAAACTATAAGTATAAACATAAGAATAATTGACACTAGAATCAGAAGGGTAGTTGCCCTTAATTAGAAGTGAGGAGGATGGGTGTGATTTTGGTGAGATTCATAGGATTTCAACTGAGCATTGGTTTACAGGGTTGGTTTTTACATATGATGGCATTTGCTTATATATGATTTCTTCCATTTTAAATTTTAAAAACTGGGAAGTCACATATAAGGAATGTTCTATTATAATTATTTGAATTCTTTTTTCTAAATTAAAATTATGGCAGTGGGACTACATATTACAGAAAAGACTTTGATGCATGAAATATCATAGTGTTGTTTTTTTCTTTTCTTTTCAGTTCGAAAGGATATTGTCCGCATTCTTCCTAGTTTAGATGTTGAAGTCAAAGACATTACTGATTCTTATGATGCTAACTGGTTTCTTCAGCTATTATCTACAGAAGATCTTTTGGAAATGACCACTAAAGAGTTTCCTATTGTGGCTGAAGTCATAGAAGCACCTCAAGGAAATCAGCTGCTCAGAAATATTTTACAGCCTGGGAAAACCATTGTGATCCACAAAAAGTATCAGGCATCAAGGATCTTAGCTTCAGAAATTAGGAGCAATTTCCCTAAAAGACACTTCTTGATCCCCACTAGCTACAAAGGCAAGTTCAAGCGGAGACCTCGGGAGTTCCCAACTGCCTATGACCTGGAGATAGCAAAGAGTGAAAAGGAGCCCCTCCACGTGGTGGCCACCAAAGCCTTTCATCCCCTTCATGAAGAGCTTTCCTCTGTATCTGTTGGGGACCAGTTTCTAGTGCATCACTCAGAGACTACTGAAGTCCTCTGTGAGGGAATAAAAAAAGTGGTGAACGTTCTGGCCTGTGAAAAAATCCTCAGAAAGTCCTATGAGGCAGCACAGCTCCCTTTGTACATGGAAGGAGGTTTTGTAGAGGTGATTCATGATAGAGAACAGTACCAGATTTCTGAGCTTTGTAAACAGTTCCGCTTGCCCTTCAATGTGAAGGTGTCTGTGAGAGATCTTTCCTTTGAAGAGGACATTTTGGCTGCTACCCCAGGACTGCAGTTGGAGGAAGATATCACAGACTCTTACCTACTCATAAGTGACTTTGCCAACCCCAGAGAATGTTGGGAAATTCCAATTGGCCGCTTGAATATGACTGTTCAGCTAGTTAATAATTTTTCTAGGAATACAGAATCATTTCTAGTCAGGACTCTGGTAGAAGAGATTACAGAAGAACAATACTACATGATGCGAAGATATGAAAGCTCTCCCTTGCATCCTCCACCTCGCCCCCCCAAACATCCCTCAGTGGAGGAAACAAAGTTAACCCTGCTCACCTTAACAGAAGAAAGGACAGCAGACCTGCTTAAGTCTCCCAAGGTAAAGCTATGATTTCACAGATTTTTCTTTAGAGTTGTTTTCCTTGAGGTAATTTGTTTCAAGTATTTTCAGAGTTTGCTGTTTGCTTACTTTCATGCCATATTTGAAATGAGCTTTTTTGATGCACAGTATTTGAATGAACATCAACAGAGTGTAAGCTGTTGCAGCACTTTATATTTTGATGCTTAACCAGTAGATGTGGCATGAAATCTATACTGAATGAAAAATAGCAGGGATGACATTTGAAAGTGATTGCCCAAATTGCCCTTCCAATCGGTTTTGGCAATTAAAAATGTTTAATAAGGTGTCTTAGAAGCAAATCTCTTTTATTTTGGAAGTGCAATTCATTTTTCCTAGGTAGGATTATTTTAATACTTCATCCAGGAAATGAGCATACAATAAACTCCCTTCTTCTGGGAAGTCACTGGTAACATGCATCTATAACGCATGTCTTCATTTTGTTTTATGTGAAGAAAGATGTAAAAATATCTTGGCAGAACTGTGTGTGAGAATGTGAGCATCTGCCCACATTACGCCTGTCTTAGAATTGCAATCTTTAACAGTTCTATTGAAAAACAAAATCGATAAAATTGCAGACAGTATGAGATCATTATAGAATTAACAACTCCATAACCACTTTAAAGATTTTGGATGGTGGCTCAGATTCATTTCTACTTGTGGTCTTTACCTCTTGGAAACTGCCTGCTGGTTACCTCAGAAACATGTCCTTACAGCAAGACGTGCTGGCCATTTGTCTGGCTGTGTTTCTATGGTGTGTGGAAGGAATGCATTCTGCAGATGTTGTGCTCAAAGCTTAGGGAAACAAAACATTTAGTAAAACAAAGAGAGATGGCGTGTTTACTCTCTATATTCAGGAAAGAGTAGCTATAAGGCTTCAAGACTCATATATGGGTATGGAAATACTTTTAATTTGATATCTCGAACATTGCATTTAGATTATATGTTGGGGAAATTCAATAAGGATGATCAACTCATTTTCAGAAAAAAATAAAGAAAGATAAAATTAGCAGAAATTTCCTTTCTGGCAAAACAATTTTGAAGGAATCATTTTAAATAAAAATAGCCCTCAAATAATGTTGAGTAACAAATTGCTACTAATGTGGAAAGTGCCTGGTTCTTTTCTCCACTAACATATTTGATTATTGAGTTGAATGATATGAGAAATGGAAGGCTTTCCTCATTTTTATTGGTGGGCAGAATGATGCCACCACTCACCCAAAGACATGTACACCTAAATTCCCAGAAGCAGTGAAGATGTTATGTTGTATGGCGACAGAGACTTAGCACATACATTTAAGATTCAGGATGTTGAGATGAGATGATTATCCTGGATTACCCCAGGTAGATCCAGTTTAATCACAAGAGTCCTTTAAGGAAATTTTTTTCAGTTGAAGTCAGGATTAGAGGGAGATGGAACTACAGAAGAATGCTCAGAGACACAAAGTAAACTGCTTTTAAAAATGGAAGGCAGGGATCAAAAATCCTAAACCACCAGGAAATCACTTGTAGAAAAAACATTAAAAAACTTAAAATGTCCCTTGACAGATGAACATGCTGTAAGTGTTTTATTAGGAGAGAAACATAAATTAATAGTGATACATCTAGGTTACTAAAATAAAGTGAACGTAATCTTTCACTGAATTCACATATGTAGAATTCTAGATCAACTTAATTTCTAACTGCTGTTCACTGGTCAGACCTGCATGTATTCTTGGTGTTGAGTTCTGAACCCAACTCCAGAGAATATTCACTGGAGTTTGTAAAGAATTGCTAAAACGTTGGGATGGAGTACAGCTCAAGAACCTGCTTGCAAGCAAAGCCCTGAGTTCAAACCCCACTCCCACCAAAGAACAACAAGAATAAGAACAGCAACAACAAAACAAAAAACTAAAATGTTGAGAGGTCCTGGAGCCATTTTTATTTGAGGAACAGTTTCAGGCATTGAGTCTAAACTTGAAAGAATTGATAGTAGATGGTATTCCTTGTAGTATACACTTAAAGAAATACTCTTTGGCAAAAAGTGCAGTTGTTTCTTTACAATATTCTCAACACTGGTTGAAGTCATAGGGAGGACATTTTTGGTGTAATCTCTTGGGACAGATTTCACACCCCCCAAAATTTTACAGCAGAAGATGGGGGACTGCAGGTCAGTGATATTGTCAAGGAATCGAATGAGAGTTTATCACATAGTTGAGAAGAATCTGCAATTCCTTGTGAATGTGATAAATATAGCATTACATTTTCCTCTAAGACCACTTGAAAATGCCAAAGCATGCTGTTTTCAGACCTACTGACCTCACTTAAAATTATTTTTCTTACCATGAACATAGGAATCTGTTTAGTGGATCATTTATGGAACACAAACAGAAAATCTGTCAGTTTCTTCACAATCTAGTCAAAAAAGTCTTGCAACCACTATTTCTTAATAGCACAATGTCACCCTTTAATATATTTCTTTTATGTTTCTTCTGATTGATTTCTTACATTAAAGTTCTTCTATTATGTATACTTTTGAAGTGATTGGATAGAACATTTTTTATGCTTTACAGGAGGAAGAAACCATTGGAAAAAAAGCCTTTAAAATTTTGGATTGTACATGGAATATTGCTTTAAGGTTAGAGAACAATTTGTGAAGGTTATTTGGAGTTTAAATATTCAGACTCATTTAGTTCATTAAAATGCCTTTTCACATGCATAACTCATTATATGAGTTTACTTTTGCTTTCCTAATGGATCATTAACTTTACTACATCATTTTTTGCATTGCTAAGTAAAAGGACAGATGTACAGGCAGTCTAAGAGTAAGAATCTAAAATGGTCTTAGTATTAGGCAAATTCATTAGTAGTAGGTATCTGTTGTCAGTTATGAACACTTGAATTTATCTAAGAATTTTATGAGAATATATGTGGACAGGTTGTAAGAACAAGGTGCAACTACCAACTATTTCTTTACCAATATGTAAGAAACAATGACAACAAAAAAGCTTACAGTACAAACTTGAGAGTTGTAATTTAAGTACGGTTGGGGGCAGATGAGTGTAGAAGCTGGATACTAAAAAACTGACAACCTATCTCAAGACCTATGCAGTTTTACAGGAAAGATTTTTAATATTTGTTTAGTGTTATAACTAATGGTTGGGTAATAATGTATGGAATCTAAACATTCTCTTGACACTAATGACATAATGGTATCTTTATGATACGTGCATTTGGATTTTTTCAACCAGATGGAAAAATACTATCAAATGGCTAAATAAACGATGCTGTGTCTAACATTGTGCTTTAATTAGGAAAGCTGTGGTATAGACTCTCCTTCCCTGAAGGTTAGTGTCTATGTCAGAAGTAGTTTCAGATAGTTTGGAGGAACATATACTCACTGGGCTTTTTGCCTGTCGTGGATATATATGGCTATGACTTCTGAGTACCACACAGGAGAAATGTAACTTCTGTATTCTGATGAAAGGGCCCATAACCACATAGAAAAACAAACCTTTGGTTGAAAGATGAGATATTCTATGTCTTCAGAGACTGCAGCTGGGATCAGAAATCTTGCATTTTCACTAACTCTGTTTGGCTATTCGATACCCAAGTGTCCACTTTGTTGCTGGAATTTCTAGATTTCTGTTGGAAAGAACACCCCCAGGGCACATTAAGACAAAGAACAAGGGAGGCAGTAATGACAAGGCACTGTGCAATGAGCAGAAAAGAAACACTGAACCAGAATGAGAGAGGGCTGAAAAAGGGCAGAAGGAAAGCAACAGTTCCTGGGAAGTGCAGAGAGAACACTTTAACAGCTGCTGCTGGTGCTGAAACATTACTTCTGATCCGCTTTGACAGCAAGAGTGGCTGAAATGTGTTAAAGAAACCCATATTGTTGGGCTAAATCTAGATCTTTACAAAACAGGGAAGAGTATTATATCATCTTGGTTGTTATTGATAGGATTCAGTCACAAGCAATATGATTTCTTTTTGTTTTTGCTAACATGATGTGGTGTAAATTTATTGAGTGTTTAAATTTGTAAATGCCTCTGAGCTTCCAAAGATTGATACCAAATCTCTTGGTCTAACATAGAAGCTGTAAATCAGTTTTCTCTCTAAATAGAGAGGATTACCATTATAGCAAGTTTCAAAGACCAGAGGCAATGAAGGTAGAATACAGACTCACTTAAAAATTGGGTATTTGAATCTGAAAATATGAAAAAGAAAAAGAATTTAAGAGCTTCCTGTAAAAATGGCAAATCTTAACTGTGAGATACCATTTTAACATTTTTTTAGCAGATAGTTGAGTTGCTCTTAGGGCATGACATATACAGATTAATAAGTCATGTTTTTTACATTGCCTGAGGTTGGTCTCGTTAATGGTATAGACTATAAACAGCTAACTATAGTAGAAACAAGTGAAAAAGATGGGAGGAGAGGGCAAAGCAAGATAGAGGAAGTGTTAGGTTGAAAACTGGCCAAACTTGAGTTACAAAGGAAACTTCCCAGCCAGAAGTCTGTGCCCAACAGAATGTGCAAAATATTTATAAATTCCTTTTGTGCTTCTGGAAGTGGGAAAGTAATCCAAACTTTTTTGCTCTAGTCAGGACATGTACTATTGCAATACTTGCAGTTGTGTAGGTGAAGAATGCTCTAAATGAGTTTTAAATTTAAAAAATGGTTAAATTTAGTAAGGCTTTAAAAAATATTGCCTGATTTTTAAGGAATTTCAACAAACAATGAAAAAGTTATCAAACTAATAAGACAACACTAATTGTCTTAGGAGAACTTATGTCTAAAGAACAGTTTTATTCTAGAATAATTGAAGAAAACTTCCACATGGAAATCCTTGAATGAACCAAAATTTTGGCCCTCTTTGAGCATTCAAACAATTGAGAATGTTCTCATTCAGAGAATGGTGATGAAAAATTTTCGTTAATACTATTCCCACTTTTTATCTGTGGTATCAAAAACTAAAATAGCCCAAATATGTGATTATT